TCCTGGGTACACCTCGGGAGGGAGCAGGCCAGAGACAAGGGGAATGAGTTGCGAGGGCCCGATGCAGGGGCCAGCGTGCTTGGTAGGTCCCTCATATAGCACTTGAACCCTAGGAAAGAGCTCAAGGAGCATGGGCAGGAGGGACCTGCCCTGGTCTGGGGCTCAGGGGTCTTCCCCAGGACATGGCATGAACCCAAGGCCTGTAGAAAATTAGACAGGAAGTGGCCAGGTGAAGAGGAGGGGGAGGGAGTCCCAGGAAGAATCCCAGGTGTGCTGAGGCCTGGAGGAAAGAAAGGCCAGTGTGGCTCGAGCTCTGGGGAAGAAATGAGTCTGGCTGGGGCCAGGTCACAGGAGCTCTAGGCCACCAAGGGGACTGATTGCATTCTAAGTAGGAGGGGAATCTTTGGAGGGTTCGAGCAGGGGAGTGGCAGGATGGAATTGGGTTGTTGACAAACTCACTGACCAACAGGTTCTTCTGTACCCTGCTCTGGCTGGGGACCCCCACCTGTTCACACCATTTTCTCAGACAAGCAGAGGTTTAGAACCCCTCGGAACACCTGAAAAGCTGCCCCACCCCAGGCCTGCCAGCTAGTAGGTGGTTCCCCAGGGCTTTGCACAGTGCCCAACATGAGGCCCTGGAGCTAGAGGCAGGCAGGCCTGGGCTCATCTGGCTGTGGCCCCAGGAGCGGAAACATACCTTCCCCCCAGGGATTTAAGACCTTGAACTGGAAGAGTCACATGGCAGAGTGACAGGCACACCCCGGCTGGCCAGTACCTCCTGTGAACTCACGGCCAGAGGGTCAGTACTGATCCCCCAGGCCCATCTCTGTGGAGGCTGCGCCTCCTCTTGTGAAAACTTCCCTCAAGCACCTACTGTGTGCCAGCAGGTAACACGTGCCATGTATCACCATGGTACTTTCGTGACAATTCCATGAAGGGGGGACACCCGTGGTTCCCATTTTTTTCAGATGAGGAAACCAAGGCTCAGATAGGTGAAGTCACTTGCCCCAGGTCACTGAGCAGGGATAGGTGGCCCTATTGCCCAGCCCATCAAGCAGGGAGAACATTCCTTCCAATCCCTGCCCCTACGAGACTTGAGTCCCAACTCTGGCCCAGTGTTTCTGTGTGAACCTGGGTGAGCAGCTTCATGTCTCTGATCCTGTTTTCTGATCTGCCAAGTGGGCCTGATAAGCTCAGGCAGATCGACTTCTGGAGCATTTGAAACAATAACTGTTCAAGTCTCAAGGAAATTACAGGTTTCTCCCAACACTAGGAATTATACACACACACACA